ATAATAGTCAACTCTCCTTAAGATGGTCATTTAGCGAGCAAAGAAAGTAGTGTCCAATAGCCCAGGGTTAGTGGATTTTGCTATTGGGCTGATAAATTCTGTTCTTAACTTTGGGGAAATTCAAATATTATTACAGAAGAATTGTAATTAATGCTCATTAAAATTTTTTTTTGCTTTGATGAATTTTCGACTACAATAGTACATGCTACAGGTTGCCCAAATGGCAAACTGTAAAACTGTCTTTCTTTATACCCTGTCATTCTCAGCACTGTCACTGTCAGTCCTCTGCTTTATATACAGTGTACAGTTAAGAAAATGTCTGAAGAATGGTAGGGGCCAACTGTAGGTCCTGTAGGTGTCTTTTCAAAGGAGTTGACTGTATTACAAGAACAGTAACTGTGACTTAATTAACTTGAATTGCTTGATTGAATTCTCTGTGTTTAATATTCAGGTCCACAAGGACCAGGAGGTCCCCAGGGAGAGAAGGGTAAGTATAAATGGAGCTGTGCTGCTGAATTTAAAATTATGGAGAATTTACTTAGTAGAATATTATTTTGAATTTTTTAGCTTTCTATGTCCCGTGAATGCTGCAACATGCATAGATGGCATTGATACAAAAGAACAAAAAATATATTGCGCACCCTATCAACATTTATGTAGTATGTAGTTTTAAATTACATTGGAAATAATCAAAATAAAGAGCCCAACATATTTGCATTTCTTTGCATTTATATTTCTCAGGAGACGCTGGCCCAGAAGGACCTCAAGGTCCACAGGGTGCCCAAGGTATGTACAGAAAATGCAAAGTAATAATGTATGCAGTTTCAGAGGAATCGTTTTTGACACACAATTTTTTTGCCTTCCTCTATTTGTAATTATTGAAAATGAGGTAAAGAAGTCTCAATATCCAAAGAAAGGGCTACTCAGTAGCCTTCTGTTAAGAGGAGAAATGCAATGCATAAGTAATTTTGATTCAATTTATTGTATAACTGCACCTCAATTTTGTTTTAAATGTTATTACAGGACCTCAGGGAGAGAGAGGACAAGACGGAGCTAGAGGAGAGAATGGTAATGAAGATTGCAACCTTGATGCATTCAATCTTGTCAGTACAAGGTTTTGGGGCGTGGAAGAAGATATTAAAGGAGATGTGTCACGAAATTTATCAAAATTCAAGCAATGGGAACTGCTACCAAATTGAGTGAAACATGAAAAAAATCCCTTAAAACATTAATTAAGCCCGGATGGACAGACTTGAAGACAATTAAAACGGATTTGAATTATGGTCTTTCAAAACCTAACAGTGTTTTTAAAGTTCAATTTTGTTTTTTGTAATGTTTGGTTTAATGCTTGGGAGACATGCATGTTTTGTTTGACACGGCGCCATGATTTTGTTAGTTACATGTACAAGTATGGTAGTTTATTCACTAACGTTGAGTTCCATAGTGAAAAACAAATGGCAGTATTAACAAAATGGACTGAACAGCAGCTGTGGCCGGTATAGCCCCTACTTAGAACATTCTAACTTTACTTTTGTGTTGTGTTTTATGTTTTAATCCAATTTTTTTAAAAAAATATTGAAGTCCAATCTCATAAGGTGTGCAATTTAAACTGACATGAAACTGACTGCAATTTAACCTGACATTATTTTGAATGCTCCTTAAGGAGTTCCAGGTCAACTAGGCCCCCAGGGAGAACAGGGACCACAGGGAGAACAGGGACCCCCTGGTGAACAGGGTCCTCAGGGAGAACAAGGAGCACCTGGACCACAAGGACCCGCTGGGAAAGCACATACAGGAGGACAATAATGGCTTACCAAAAGCTGAAATTCAATTTGTAAGTTATAAGGCGTTATCCAGTAACTAAGCTTTACTCTTTACTCTAGGCTTTATTTTGTATTTGTCAATTGCTTCTAAAAAGGATCTTGGTGGGAGTGTTTATGTACGAACTAGATGTACGTGTTATTAGCAGTAGCTGGATAAATGGTTGTTTCCTCAGTGAAAGTTGAAAGTTCATGTTTCAAGAATTAGGCCCATTTAAAACACATTTCCATTGATAAGAAGCTAAGGCCTCTTTGATTAGGAAAGTGGAACAATATCCTCGTCTGAAAAATAAGTTGGAAGTTTAAACAGGCCACACACGTATGTATCCAACAATAAAATAGGCTAATTGTAATTGTTTAGTGATACATTAACCGTTTTCCTTGTGCTTGTGCTTATCTCGTTATTTTTGGTATTTTTTCAGGATAAATTTGAATGCAGAGGTTACCTTGCCGCAATCTTTTCCTACCTGCTATGAACCGGACAACTGTAAAACAATTTTTTTGCCATTGTAAGCGGTGCATCTCTGATGTCGTTATCAATTTGGGAAAGGAAGTCAGTTTTTTCCGGTTGATATTGATCGTTTGGTTACGTTTAGTATGTGCCAGATTTAATCTTTGTAAGATTTTATACTGTGATATTAACCCATTTTTAACAAGATTTCAAGAATTGCTCAACTCAAAAGTTAATTAGAAAAGGACATTTTCTCAAAGTGGCCAAGAACAAACAGGATGGTTGGAAAAAGTACTACTAATAGTAGCCCTCGATGGATGGTGGTCACACTTCAGCCAGACTGAAATAGTCTGCTACACAACCGTTTTTAGTGCGTCACGCAACGCTCCTCCTCACGAGCGTTGCGCGTTAAGTGACGTCACCAAAAACGGCTGTGTAGCAGACTAGACTGAAAGCTGACTGGGGAAAATACTGCTAATTAGCTTTTATTACACTGGGGTTGCACTGCATCGAACATAGTTTTGACAGGACTAGTCTACTGCTTGTTTTTCTAAGTAACGGTTCCCCATGCTTTGGGCATTTTACTGTATTTTCTAGATGGAAATATGCTGCTTAAATTGTTATAGCTTATTTACAAGTATTTTAAATTTTTAAAGACAAATATTTTAGTATTTGCATAAACCAGTTTTGAAGTTTTTCTCATAACTGTATGACAAAGTATTTTCCTGGAGAATTTTTCAATTCCTTTTAATCCCCTGCACGTATTTTTCAGTGATTTATAGTTTCAAGAGATGATTGATTGCTTACAATTGCACGAATATTTCGCCTCGAACTGGCCCAATTTTGTGCCTTAATATTCTTTGCGGCTTCCGAAGATTTAAGCTTATTTATTTTTGTATGGCATTTTAAGTTTCTTTATCTCCTGTAACTCTTAATTGTCGTTTCTTCCTGTGAAAACCCGACCTGGCATATAACATATTTTAGACAAGTGAAAAATCGACTGTCAAATTGCTGTTTTCTGTAACAAGTTGTAATCCCTTTTTGAGTGAAATCATTATCTACTGTTAGCTTGGGTTTTAGTCTCTGTAAACGAACATTTTGTCATTCTTTTGTCGCCTCTGACATGAAGACCATAATGACGATAGATCTCAGTGTTACGGATCGAAGGTATGGCTTGGAAGTTTTCACAAAGTACACAACACAGCTCTACATGTAGATGACATTGAATAAAAACCACTCCAGTTCTGAATGTATGTTGTTGTAGTCTACTTTTTTTACTGGGCTGCCTCAGGGCACGCCCAGTTATAAAGTCGTCTGCGTAATATCCGGGCACTTTTACATACGGGCACTGTTAATTTTTCACCCCGTTTAACCCAGAAGGCGTTGCGTGTTTCGACAAACCATGTATTCCCTTCGAGAATTTCGCACACAAGTTCAATAGCCTGCGAAGCTGGCGGTTTCAGTTTGGCGAGAGGGCAAATAAGCTGTGAAGAGAGAAAGCAAAGCGTTTAAGAGCAAGGCAAGTCACTTACTAGTGCAGCGTTTGATGACTTTGCCTCCTATAGCTTACAGTTGTTCTCAGTATGGTCCAGAGTTTTTTCTTTTGTCTTTTGTTTGTATCTATATCTTGCTAAGCTTTTATCTGAATTAAATTTGTGCATAACCTTGTTATGCTGATCTTCCAAGTTCTGTGTCTTCTCCCCTTCGGTTTACGGTTAGGGTTAGTTGATTAGAGTTTCGGCGAACTTTGAAAGTTCACGGCTCGCTTCAAGTTTATCGCCAAATACATACCTTTTGATGAGGGTGTAAACTAAAAGACTAAAGCCATCAAAAATGGGAACTTAAAAAGAACCTATATAAATCGATTTCACCCGAAACTTTACATCGGCCTGACTTGCAAATGTACAAGACGTCTGTTTTACTGAAGGTGTTTTGAATACGTACACTGTAAATGTGACGGAGAAGTGCAGTATTATATATATGAACCATAGGGTTTCAATTAATGTAAACGTCAATCACTGTGCATCGAGCGTTACGCCTAAAACTTTCGGAGGAGTAAACAACAAAATAATTGTCTTCCATGAAAATACGTTAGTTATGGCTGAGAGGGGCCCACCACCTTTTAAAATGTAAATAAGTAAATACAGTGCAGGAACCTCGATAAAGCGAAGGGCCAAAGCACTGGAAAAATATGTTCGTTATAACCCAGCAATAGTAAAATATAAGGCAGTATGAAAAAGAGTCGATATAAGTTAAAAATAAAACAGCAAAATACCATTAGGCCATTTTACAGTTATGGATGGTAGCGAGGCTGACTGTGACCTTGTTTTGATACAAACCTTCCTGCTTTGTTATGTAAATCAAGTTATTCTTATGGTAATTTGTAAAAGCATATGCTTCCCGCTGACGACCACGCAAAATGCCAAGGTCTGACTGGACGCTTATGAAAGGTCGGGCCGCAGAGGGTCTGTACCAGTATTTACTCATTGGAAGATAATTTATTGCAAATTACAGGCAAGCACTGCCTGTTACTCGCAGCACTGTATTATGTATATCGCTGACTTTTTTCCCCAGTCATTAGGGAACTTGTCTATACAGTACTTATATATAAGAGTAAATCAAAGCAAGGAAAACACCGTGATTCGGTTTGCTCCTAACATTTTATTTATACTTCTCCATGGATGAAGTAAACTACTTGGGTAAGCGGAAACTTAAAACGGCATCTTGATTCATGACGGCAGTCGGTTAAGCACTTCCTTCCTTGATATTGTAGGCTGGTGTTCCTATTAAAGAAAAAGAGACGTTTATTTGGAAGTGCGGGCGTTTATTAGGCCATTTACGGTATGACCGTTGGGTGCTGACATCGGCCAAGTGAGTTATCATAGCCTGGGACTAGGCTCCTTGGTGGAGAAAAAGGGAAAAAGGCCAGCTGGGTGTAAGAAGAGCAAACCCGTGCGGCCCCCATTCCCTAATTTACTTGCCTTCTTCCCATCGACTCTCGATACTTAACAACCTTTCCCCAAACAGAGAGACTGTTCACAGTTAAGAGCAGGAGCCGATTACTTGGCAAGAGCTATTATAGCAACACTAAATGACGTCGTTTCATTTGTTAGGTCTTGTGACTTGTAGTCGTATTTCTCGAAATAGTTTACGGCAGCTTAGATGTTCTTTGGGCTTAACATACAAGCCTTATTAAATCAAATCTTCCTGTAGAAGTGTTTATATTAAAGTTCTTAGAGTAAGTTAGTTGTCCGAATAAATTAAAGTTTTAGTTGTTTGAATCAATTATAGTTCGAAAAAGCAGAATTCTACAAAGTGGTCGACAGGGCAACTTTCGAGGTTACTCTTTTGAAAGGAAATATCGACAAGAGTAGTCTAAGAGATTTCCATGTTCTGTACTCTTATCGACTTGAAATAGCGTCAAAATGATCAGAACACAAGAGCCGTAGATGAGAGGTTTCACTACAAATTTCTGAACATTTCCAGTCTTCGTCGTCATTGTTATGGTTGATAAGAGTCAGGCAAACTTGTTGTCCCTTTTTTTACAATAGAGAGATTTGGAGTCA